TGCTGACATGGCATTAAAAATTAATATAATTGCAGATTTATTCTTCAGGGAATCATAGTTACACAGGCAGCTATAGAGGTGTCAACACTTTTGCATCATAAATGCATGTAAGGAGATAGGCACTGCTCAAATATGCATTTACACAAAAGATGTTTAAACCTTGAATATTGGCTGCAGGGAATGATCTTCAGAGAATGGACCTTCCTTCCTTTGTTTTATACTGGTCTCAGGGTACCACACTCATTTTCCTTTGAGATTGCCTTACTTTTTTAACGTGCACTTCAAAGCACTTAGTTGCTCAGTGTTCCAGACATGTAATACTTAATTTAAAACGTGTGGACTGAACTGGATAAAGTAATATTTCATAATGTAAAATATTTCACAAAAGAATCCCTTTGTTGTGTAAATCATGTTAAATATGACACACATTCAAGATTTTATTGCTTTGTTGTTCTGGGTAGAGATTTTTTTTAAATAATCTCTTTGCAGTGTTTGGTATAGTTCAACATACGTAAAAGGAAGTTGTTTAAAAGACAAATGTGTATTCTGTCACTGTTGAGCATGAACAGCAGACACAGTAATTTAGTAGTCCAAGATTCCAAGGAATGTAAACACATCATTGCTGTTTGAGTGGCTAGGGTCTAACTTTCAATTGATAGTGCTTCTAAAAATTGAAAGATACCATTTTGTAACCAAAGGATGAAACAGTAAAAGGTATGAATATGTGAAATACTTTTAAACAGAGTAACAATATTACCAGTAGAGATCATTTAAAATATACTGGATTCCATATCCTAAATGTAGAATAGAAAACATAAATTGCTTGGAATGTCTTTATTTGTTCGAAACCTTTCAAAATGAATATATGAAGTCGGTGCCTCAGGGACCAGATTTTTAAAAGTGCTCATCATTTGCTGATGGTAACGACTTTCAGAAAGATTTCAGCTCTCATTTGCACATCTGTACAAAATGCCAAACTTTCAAAAGTGGTCAAGATCCCAGCAGCTCCTGTAGTTCTCTGTCAGGAAGCAGGGAGAGTGACTTGTACAAAAGCACAAAATGAGTTTTACTAGATCCAGAATTAGAATTCAAGCCTTCTTGCTTCTACTCTTGTGTTCTGAGTGCTAAACTATTCCTTTCTTTCATTAGTATGCTAGAAAAGTGAAATACTTAGATCTTATTACTGCAATCACGTGAGCTTAGGTTCGCCTGCTGAGCATGTGTTTATGTACTATCCCATCATCTAGCTTTGTGAGTTTAAATATATGTGAAATCCTGATCCCATTGAAGTAAATATTATTATACCTACTGATTTCAAACTGATTTCACTGGTACAAACCAGGATGTCACCCATGAATATCTAAATTATCTGTAGACACTAAATGCTAATGGTTTTAAATTACCCTTCAAAAATCAAAATCATATATTTCATGTTAAAAACCCCCATTGCATTAGACGGTGCATTAACTTCACTACTCTGGAACCTTTTTGAATACCTTATGAGATGAAACAAAGTTTCTGCTAAGCTTGTTGATTTTCCATAAAGTCAGGATTTTGTTTCATCTTAACAGATTTGCCACTGAAGAATGCTGCTTTGAAGAAAGACTCTCTCGATGTAAGATCTTGTTATATTACTTTGTTTTATGTTTTGGATTTACACTGAGTAGTCTCTGAAGGACGATTAAAGAAATAGGGTAGATGTTGGACCAACTTCAACAGCAGTTCAATTGCCTTCATCTTGTCTCTAATATTCTGGAACCAGCATAGCTGCAACAACACTACATCTCACAATCTAAAGGGAAATATTATTTCTAGTATATGCAAGATCTATGTATAATGAGATAATTCAGTTTTGCAAATGGATGCATAATTGCTATTTTGTAATTTGCTGCATAATTGTGAATAGAGTACAGAGCTTGGTTCTTATTGCTGAACCTGTGCTCTCAACCTGAGAGATATGGAGAACATTAAGGATGCAAGCACATTGAGCTTTGCAGGAAAGAGGTTTTGTTACGTTATTCTGCAACAGTCTGGCTATTTCAAGGTCATGGTTGGCAGACTGAAACGAGAAGCTTCATTAAGTCGTCTTAGTGGGAGGTATAGAGAGGAAAAATTGGGATAATTGAAATTTGAGAGAGTATTATCAGGAAGCCCCCTATCTTATAATCATACAAAGATTTGTAGGTTAATAAATATAATGGGCTATATTTGAAAATATTGCAGCTGTAAAATATACTTTAAAACTGCTAATCCCGATGACAAAGCAATTTAATAACATATAACAAATCTGTCATATATGAACTTAAAAGTTTTAGGATCACTAAGCATTTACTTATCTGAGCTATTACTAGAGAAGGAATAATTCTTACAGAAAGAATCAGTTCTGTATTATGATGGTAATTTACAGTATTTATGGTCCTGTTAAAACTTCTATTTATAAACTTAGCATCTTTGCATAGCTTTCTGCTGTCCTGTTAATACAGATTAGTATGTAGTTCATCATATGGTATCCTTTTCAGAGCATATAAAACAGGAGTGAGGAACCTTTTTTTTTGGATCGGGGGCTGCTAACCCATTGAAAAATCAGTTGGGAGCCACTCACAAATGAGAAGCATGGCCCTCAACTAAGGAGAAAGACATTCCCCACATTCTCCTTGCACGCCAGAGCCTAGGGGATCTGAGCCTAGTAGATTGTGTGCTCCAGCTCTGTGGTAGGTTGACAGGAGGGTGGAACACTGGCGCAGGCTCCCCAATGAGGGGGGGGCCCTGAGTCTCGGGGGCCGGATCCAGGCAACCCGAGGGCCACATCCGACCCCTGGGCCTGAGGTTCTCTACCCCTGATATAAAATATGTTTAATTGAAGCTTAAGGAAAAGCTCATTAAAATATAAGTAGAAATTCTGGAAATACTAATAGTTATAACAAAGCTAGACTGGTCTTCCATCATGTTACTGTTCTACGGCAGTATTGTTATTAGAGCTCTAAGAACTGGGGATGTAATAGTGTAGTTCATTAACCAATAAGCAAAAGCTTATAGGTTAATGCTGTAGACTACATGCATTTCCCCTCCTACTGCCCAGCTCAATCCTGGCTTGCGTCCGGTCCAGGATCTCCCCTCACTGCGGCTCTGTATTTAAAGTGTATTAGGAGCCAGGTAGGCAGCCCGGCTCACTCCAGGTCTGGGAGCTGGTTTTTAAACTGGCTCCCCTCGCAGACCAGCTCCTGCCTGGAACTCCGCATTGTTGCCTCTGATGCAGAGGCAGCAGCACTGAGTGGCAGGGGACTCCTCGAGAGGGGACTATAGACTAGTCGAGTAACCGGTAAGAATTAATGAGGTTATCCCAACTATTCAGTTAACTGATATTTAACATTCCTACTAAGAACAAACTTATGCTCATCTAATTCTTTCCTTCTAATACATATTATACTTTGAAAGTAGCAACTGGGGAAGACTTTCTTCTTTCAGTCTTCATAACTTTCATGAATAAAAATAAGTATAAAATTAACTAACTTTGCAATTTTATGTCTAGGTGGAAAACTCTGACACACACAGAGTTGATGAGGGTAGCTGCAAAGAAAGAAAATCTAAACCTTCAGTGACCACAAGTAAAGAAACAGGTAAATAAGTATAATCTTACATGTGCAGTAAACAAGAGCTGGTTAGAAAAATACTGATAGAACCATTTTTGGTTGGAAGATATAGTTTTGTGAAAAATTAAAAATGCATCAACATTTCCTTTCAAAGAAAAAAAATGGACAGCTTTTCTGGAGCAAACATGTTTCCTTTTGAAATAACTTTTTTCTTCACATTTTAAAATTTTGACACACATTATTTTAAATCAAAGTTGAAATATAAATTTGTTGACCAAACAGAAAAATTAAACTTAAAAATTACAGAGAAATTAAACTTCCCATCCCTTGAGAGGTACCATGGCAGCCTATAATGGGAAAGAAAATAAACCTCACAGAAGAGTATTATGCAACTATTAATTTGTAAGTTTCAGAGGGGTAGACAAGTTAGTCTATAATAGGAAAAACTTAAACAACAAATAGTCTGGTAGCACTTTAAAGACTAACAAAACATATAGATGGTGGTATGAGTTTTTGTGGGAACAGCCCACTTCTTCAGATGACCGGACATCTGAAGTGCTACCAGACTATTTGTTGTTGTTTAAGTTTTTCCTGTTAATTTGTAGTCAGGCTAAGGCCAAACATGCCTTTTTGTCATATAAATTAATCTTTACATGAAAATTAATCTTGCTTTTTTGAAAAATACAGGAGAAGAACATGTAGGTGAAAGAAGACCGAACATGGGGGGGGGGGGGACCTTACCTTGCCTCCTAGATTTCCCTTACTGCTAGAATATACAGACAAAAATAAGTCTGAATGTACCCTTTAATTCTTGTGTGTGAATGTTAGTGATCATAAAAAGGCACCTCTCTGACATCCCTTCAGAGGGAAGTCTTCTGTTTATTCACAGAATAAGTATAGTAAATGTAGCAGCAGTAAAAGCTTCTTTACCATGCCTTAGAATCCTGATTTGGAGGGATCACTGCTAGCAGGATAGTTCCGTCTCTGTGCCCAGTCACTAGACCTGTTTCCTGGGACTGACAGCATATGTGCTGTGTCCACTGGGAATTGGACTGAGGGAACTCAATCACAGAATTAACTTCAGAATGGAGATTTAAATATTCTGCTCTGTGCAGTCCAGTTCCATGTAAAATGTCACATGCAGTGCTTAAACGCTCTTCAGAAGTACACTTACTCCTCACTTTTCTATGTGTTTTATAACCAGCTTGTGAAGTGTATACTACAACTTGATCATTTATATAGTTATACTTTTGTGCTTCAGCGCAGGAAACTTCAAATACCCTGGACATGATAGAAGCAGAAAAAGTACAGATTAAAATAAAAGATCAAGAGGTAGGTGTGCTTATTCTATTCAGCCATTACAGACTGAAGCAGAACATACATAACCCAAGGTCTTGAAGTAAAATGGTTTCCTGACCCAGCCTTCTAAATGCAAAGTGAAAATGGCACACATATAAGTACTTTTAAAATACCAGTGCCTGAGGACAGGATAGTCTCTTCTGTTCTCTCATGTGTTAAATCTTACTTATTCCCACTTTTTAATTACAGATAGAAATACCTCATCGGGAAAAAGTAAGCAGCATGCCAGGAATGGGAAAAAAACAATCGCCTGATTATGAGGGTGAATCAGGTAGCTGACAAAATTGCAGCACGCTCATGTATTTCTTCATAAATCTTGAAGGTTTTTTTTATTCTTGTGTGTTCAAATTTATGTACGTAACTGTGGCTCGTGAGCCAGTCCAGTAATTTTATGATAGTGCTCTGCACAGCCATGCAAAAGTCTCAGGTTTGATTTCCATTCTTCATCTCTACCTTAAAAGGTTGTTTTGGTTCCCAGAAATTTGTGGGAGTACCTTACATGGATCACTGTTGAACTGTCTGATTAGGGAGTAGCACAGGCAAATTAAAGACACCTGATCTCTCGCAGAAGCAGAGACCCTGGCCAGAAGTTTGTTCTGCCCAGCCGAGACCATATTCTACCCATGCATATTGCATCTACAGTAATTGGATGGCTGTGTCCTGTGGCAATACAGAGAGCCCCCTGCAGCTCCTTTATCATGGTTCCACTCACTGCTGTGACAACAGGGCTACAGAGGGCTTCCTATGCTGCTGCAGAAATCATTCATCAGCAGGTAGCATCCCTTGTAGCTGGGGGCTTGTCTTCCTCAATACAGGGGTTGGTAATAGGATTTCAAATAAATGGGAGTATACTGTAGGGTTTGTTTTTGAGAGTGCCTTCTTCTCCAGCATATCTCTTTTTCATTTCAACAAATAAGTTAATATCCCTTATGGCTGAAAAAGATATCTTTGAAAACATGCACATGATCCATGCAGTGCTGTTTGCATGAATTTGCATAGAGTCAAAAACAGTTACTATGACAGAGATGTGCATCATGCCTATTCATCTCCATAGATTCTTTACCAATGTTGATAATTAAACAATGAGTTGCTGTCTCATTTTGGCATCTGAAGTAAGTGGAGCTTAGCTTGATAGTAAAGCTTAGGAGAGTACCACTTTTTTCCCCAGTTCAAGCCCCACAGCTTTCTCCATTAGGACTTGATCTGGAAGGTGAAGTAGGGGGGAAAGAGAGGGAAAAGAAGCTCCAGTCTTCACACATTCCCCCAGATGTTTCACCTGTTCAGTGAGAGCAACTACTGCCAGAATTTATATGGGAATATTGATACAACTCTGATCTGGCCTGGGTAATATTGAGTAAGTCCTGCATCAATTATCACTGAAGAGTTCTACAAAAAGAGGATAATACTGAATCACCTAACCATAATTTATTTCATATACAGTACAAATTAATGACATTAGAAGAGTAAATGTATGTGTATGATATTGGGTTAATGGAAATTGTCTTCCTCTCTTGGTGACTTAGTTTCTTCTGTTGCTTCAGAGAACAAATGAGTCCGTCAAAATGATTAAACAAATATATTGAATGCAAACATATAGCATGTAAAGTAGTATTACTGTTTAATCTAGTTGTTGTGCAGTTGAGGCCCATGTTTAATTTAGTGTCAGAGTTATGAAATTGAGGCTGGTAGTTATATTTTTTTAAAACTCTAATATAAAACAGTCTCTTCATTGTTTCATGAATTTGTTCATTCAAAGAGAAAAAGGGGGTTTGATTTTGTTGTAAATCAGGGACAGCTTGGCTGAAAGCAGTGGAATTACATTGATGCAAAACAGGTATTTATGAGAAGAGAATCAGGCCATCAGAGGCATAGACAGGAGCATTTTAGTTAAACATTTAAACTGTTTTGCAGATGATCGGACAATTACTCAGGATTTGAGAAAAGGAAACAAACCAAGTCAGTGCTCCAGAATAAAAGATACCAAGGTATCCATTTCATTGTTATCAAAAAGATATTGAGAGAATTTTGGCATCTGATGTAGATAATGTTTTGATTTTTGTGGAGATTGATTTGGGGATGATTTTCATAACTGACGTAAATACAATTTCTTACAATAATATTTTAACTAATAAATGTTAGAGTGAAAAGATTCAAATTGGCCAAGCCTCAATTTTGAGCTCTTCCAGAATTGAGGCTAAGTGTCGCACATCATATATGATATTCACATATTTTGCAGCTCTTTGCATTTTCCTTCATTTTACTATAATCTGCCTGCAGTAGAATTTTGTACAGCTAACTTGGCAGCAAGCATACAGAACCAGATCCCTCTCGACGATAGCAAGCTTCTTTGTTACCAGAGATTCTGCTTCCACTCTCTCTGCTCACTTGGTGCCCTGCCAGCATGGGTATCTGGAATTGCTATATATTGAGGGCAGAGACATGAAGAAATGAGGAGGATGGGGCAGAATGGGGAAATACCAAAAGGGAGCAACAAAAAGGGTGGTGATTTAGAATGGGGAGCAGAGACAGAAATTGGGTAAGTGCTGAAAATGAGGAGGATATAAAGTTTGAAAGAAGATTGGGGCAGAATTATGGAGTGATTGGAGAAGGACAACTTGGTGAAAGCTACTGTAGGCTCAGAGTGCCCTAAAATTTTCCTCCTACACATCAACTCTCCCAGGTTGAGCTAACCTTTTCTTCAGTCCCACTCAGTCTGGCCTCTCTCAACTTCTCCCCCTGAAGAAAACACCCTTTCTAAACTCTCCTTCCAGCATCCCATTTTCCATTGGTTGCCCCAGTCTCCTGCTTTTGAGTTTTAATGGGAATGGGCTCCTGTCTCCCTTGCATGTATGACTATGGAGAACCCTGAAGTTGTTTTTCATCATCAAGAAACATCACAAACACAGCTGAATAATACCTGTTTACTGTGAAATTAGTGTAATCTAATAGACAGTACTGTATACCCTCCCATCTGATGGGAAAATGAGTGTCTGAATAATTCTGTAACCAAATTGCCTCACTACTTGGCACCGGTATTGAACTGATGCTCTGCCTTGGTAAGGAAAAAATGAAGAGTGCACAGTATAGCCATAAAAATAGTATTCTACATTCATATTTTTTCAGAGTAGCTGGCAGTGACCTTACAGTTATAATAAGATGATCTTTTTTTCCCCCCCCAAAAAATTAAGGAAGTGACCTCTGGAGACATACCTGAGGTATCCAAAGAAATCATTAGGAAACGCACACTTCTTTCAAGTGCTGTGGAAGAAAAAGGTAATGAAACTATAAATTCAAGATAATTTACTGAAGCTGCACATAGTGTTAATTTTTTACACTGAAATAACAAAATGAGAATCCTTATGTCATAATCAAATATTTGCTTATTTTCATTAATAATGTTTGTCTATGAAAACGCTCAGTGTAATAGCCATTGAAAAACACATTGGGAGTTTCAGAAGCCAAACACAAAGAGGAGCACAGGAATGTAAGCCAGCCATTGCTTCTGCTCCACTGCATGATCTAGATTCAGAAAATGGGTAGTTTGTCAGAGAAGTGGGAGGGTTAGGATACTTCACCAGAGAGGCTCTGTGTTGCTCTGGCCATAAATTAAAGCTGCCTTTCCTTGATAGAACCACAATCTGCTCTCCCATAAAGGAACTCGTCTTTCTAGTACATCTGCCTGTAGGAACAAAGTGTATAAATTGCATTGACTATAGATGACTTAGCCCTATTAGTTAATTTCGCACATTAGGGATGAAAAGAACTAGTCGACTAGCTGATAAGCAAATGCTTATTGGATAGTTGACAGGATAGTTGACGAGTTGCTCTCCCCCACACACTTGCTGCCTCTATCAAATAGAGATGGAGCCCAAGGTCAGCTGGGGAATCCCCAGCTGATCCTGGACTTCAAGTGGTGCTGCTGCTTTGAAATGCCAGGTGGAGCCCAGGATCAGCTGGGGACTCCCCAGCTTGACCCTGGGCTCCATGCAGCGTGCCAGCTTTGAAATGTACAAGAGTCCCCAGCAGGGGCTCTTGTGCATTTCAAAGAGGAAGTGCAGCATGGAGCCCGGAGTCAGCGGGACTTCCCGCTGGCCTTGCGCTCAACACGGCGTACCAACTTTGAAATGTACAAGAGCCCCCACTGGAGCTCTTGTACATTTCAAAGGCAGAATGCGGAAGTGCCTATCGACTAGTCGATGGAAATTCCATCGACCACTTGACTAGTGAATTAATTGCTAGTTAATATCCCTCTTGTACATTGTACTAAAAGAAAAGAATGAGAGAATGTCCTATGAATTAATGTTGGCTTTGTCCTCCTCTACCTTCCTCAGCATAGTATCTATATGCCAACATGGGACTGAGCTACAGGCAGTCCCCAGGTTACGTACAAGATAGGGACTGTAGGTTTGTTCTTAAGTTGAATTTGTATGTAAGTCGGAACTGGTACATATTGTACCCCAGGTGTCCCCGATTCAGCCGCTGCTGAAACTGACCAGCGGCTGACTACAGGAAGCCCGAGGCAGAGCTGCTTTGCCCCAGGCTTCCTGGAATCAGCCGCTGATCAGTTTCAGCAGCAGCTGACTTGGGGACACCTGAGGTAGAGCAGCTGGGGTGCTGCCAGGTTGGTCCCCGCAGTGCCGAGGTGCGGCGCTGCGGGGACCTACCCGGCAGCACCCCAGCTGCTCTGTCCCAGGTATCCAGATTCAGCTGCTGTTGAAACTGATCAGCGGCTGGCCTCTTTTTAAATGCACCATGCAAATAAATGCATTTTAGGTTAGCTTAAAATATATCAAGACCAAAAGCTGATTATAATATCGATCTATCTGGCGTTCTGGCTGGGAGCAGGGCTGGCGTGCTGGGGCTGACCCCTTTTGCCCAGCCCTTCAGCTGGGGATTAGGTCCAGTGCTCTGGGGCTGACCGCACTCCACCCGGCACTCCGGTTGGGGAGTGGGGCCAGAGTGTGGGGGCTGATCCCAATCTGACCAGTGTTGCAATTGAGGAGTGGGACCCACCCAAGTGGATCCTTCTGGATACATCACTGTAGCATGCAGTCCAGAATTAGGGTTGCCAAGTGTCCAGTTTTGAACTGGACAGTCCAGTATTTAAGATTTCTGTTCGGGAAACAAATTGAGAAAATATAAATGTCCAGTATTTTCTAAATAAGATGTAATGTAGACTGTGATTTAATGTCAAGTGTATCTGGTATTTTTGTTGAAACCATCTGGCAACTCTATCTAGAATCCGACAGCTGGCATTTTTAAATACTGGGCCGGATCCTGGGACAAAGGACCAGTCAATCCTGGAAATACGTAAATAGTTTAAGATTAGGTAATAGTCATTTAGGACAGAGGCAAGGGATGTCCCCACATTTTTCACACAGTCTGCATAAAAATGTCTCTCTATACCCATGGTCACCAACCAGTAGATCGCGAGCTACCGGTAGATCTCAGGGGCTCTAAGAGTAGCTCTTGAGCCCTCTCTGAACTGTGCACCTGCGCAGTACATTTACATTAGATTTCCTCATGTAATGTAGGCGGGGCTTCAAGGAAGGGGCGGGGCAGTAGATCTTCGCCTGTTCTGTGACTTAAAAAGTGATCTTGGGTGTGTAAAGGTTGGAGACCATAGATCGCGAGCTACCGGTAGATCTCAGGGGCTCTAAGAGTAGCTCTTGAGCCCTCTCTGAACTGTGCACCTGCGCAGTACATTTACATTAGATTTCCTCATGTAATGTAGGCGGGGCTTCAAGGAAGGGGCGGGGCAGTAGATCTTCGCCTGTTCTGTGACTTAAAAAGTGATCTTGGGTGTGTAAAGGTTGGAGACCACTGCTATATACCAACAAACCTGCTGACAAATCTGAGTTTGTTTTGCAGTTAACCACCTATCTGGCTCACCTCCCTACCTTTCTGGTTTGTAGATGTGGAGAGGAAATTAATAATACTATCAATAAATGCCTTGACTTTGGAGTTCTTGTTATGGGTCACACTCTCAAATTTTAATTCCATTACTTTAAAATCCAAAATCCAGAACAGTAACTCACAGTGGTCTAATGAAGCCTAAACAACAAAAATTGTAAAACAAATACTATAAGATATTAATATTTTTATTGAAGTTTAATTTATAGACCCATTCCCCCAGCTTACAATCTAATTTTGAGACAATACAGACGGTGGTCAATATTTTTGTTATATTTCTAAACCAAAGATATGCAGCGAAATTGTGTCTTTGTATTTTGTGCAGATGAGTTCATCAGCGAGCAAGAGACTTGTGAAAAAGCAAAGCAGAATCTGGAGACTAATTTAAGTTCTGTAGAGGCAAGTAGTCTTTTATCCATTTAATTCATTGCCATTTGAAATTTTAGCATTGACAAAATTATATTGTCCTATATTTTCCTCACTGCAACAATAAAAATAAAATATTGATTTAACCACAGCCATAATAGACAGCAATGATTTGAACACCTGGAACGTTGTAAAGCTACTAATTAAATAGCCACACTATAATGTCTGTTCCAGACTATAAGCCACACATAGTACTGTCAACAGCCAGAATAAAAAAAAGTTGAGCAGAGAAGTTGACTTGAGGGTTTTCTTTAAAGAAAGTAATCTAAAAACATGGTAAATGCTGGTGCTGTATGTCTAACAAATTGCATTTAATAAGCAACTTTGACCACTTCACTTGCATTCCTCCCAATTAATCCATCTCTGCCCATATTACTACTCCCAAAAGGCAAAACAGGCACTGTTGTTGTTGTTGCTGTTGTTTTTAAACCGTAACCTGGCACAACATTTATCCTCCCAGACCCCAGCCTCACTAAGGTTGAATTTCTTCCTCCAAACTACACTGGCATGAAATATACACAGAAGTAAATTCTGGACAAGTCATATCTCATGACTCTTCAAAACTGTAAATCTCAGTAATTGTTGCTTTTTAATGTTAAAAGCCAAGAACTGTCCTTTTCCAATGGTATAAAAGACACTATTTGTAGCACTGTATCAGAGTACAAAATCTTGATTATATTGATATATGGAAAAGTTATTTTAGGCATTTTTCAGAAATATTTAAATGTTTGCTTTTCCCCTTCAGAGAGATGTACAGTTGAATTTATTTATTAAGGCTACAACTTAACCTTACAGAGAGGTGTGAAAAATAGTGCTACAAAAATAAGAATATTTTTGTCTGCAAAGTATAGAAATTTAAGCTAATTTACTGTGTGTGTGAAAGGTGCATTGATTGACTGTCCTAGAGACTGCAGTCACTACCAAAGCACAGCACAGTGCAAATTTACCCTACCACACTTCTATTTTATCAAAACCCAAAATGGGAAGAAGTGTCTCTAAAACTCCCTATATTATGAGCTAGTGGTGTGATTTCAAGGTCAGGTGTACACATTTGTACTAGCCTAAAGAGCTAATGTGAGTATAAATAGTAGTGTAGCTGCAGTAGCAGCAAGACAACTGTTTATATTTGTACTAGCTCTCATAATAGTGAAGTATGCATAGACAAGCTCGATAACCCATCTCTAGCTCATAGAATAGGTGCATAGCAGCTGGAGGTGTGAATTGCAGCTTGTCTTGATATGACAGTACTCTAGCTAACTTGGTAAAAGGAGTGAGGAAACTGCAGCGCACCGTGGGGTGCATTAGCAAGTATGTACCTAGAAATGTCAAGTGGTCTTGTGAAGCTTGCACTAAAGCCTGCACTGCATCCTCTTTTTCTTTTAGTGAGATAGCTAGACTATAGCTAGCATGTGTATATCTACACTAGCTCCGTCCACACTCTCAACTGTAATGTAGACATATCCTAAAGCTGAGAGAGAAGTAGGTTTCCTTCATTCATTCAGAGCCCACTGAAAGCGGAGGAAAGACCATCTTTTATCTTCAATGAGCTTTGGCTCAAGTCCTCAATGTTTGTTTTTTCTCATGGAGCAGTGAGGTGCCAGCTGCGGTGGTGGTTTTAGTGGTTTGGTCATTGGTCCATTAAAAATTAGTCTGAGAACCACTAACATTTCACAGAGGCTACCATACAGTAATCATTTGATAATCTGTCGTTTACAACATGGACTAGATTCAAGCCAAGAGATAAAATATTGTATTCTTTACCAAAACCTTGAAATATGTAGGCTCCAACTAGTGTTGTAAGTTGCATCTGCAGCAATTCTTATTCAAGACATATGTCTTTTAATAAAAATCTTATTTTCATTGTCTGAAAGGCTGATCTCTGTCTTTGGAAAGCTATTTTGTACTAGAAAAGGCCTTAGATTTCACTTAAAGTTATGACAACATGATAGTGTGGTCATTCTTAATATACCCACTGTTTAAATACCTGCACTAATGTAAACTTGTATGTTATGGTAACTAACACCCTTTTGTTTCTTTAAGGAAAATCAAACTGTAATAGTTAAGCGGAAAAGAGGAAGGCCTCGTAAATACCCTCTTGAAGCAGTACAGAATAGTAAGTACTATGTGAGATCTTCACAGAAAATAACGTTAACAGTGATTTCTTTTTCTGAATCTACTCTTTTATTCTTTAGGGGTGGATTCAGAAGCTGACATAAACACTGGGAATGTAAGTGTCTGAATATTTTTATTTGGATGCACACATTTATAATTTAAAACTTTTTTCTGAGTAACTTCATAAAACATAAATAAATATATAAATTAGAAATTATTGGTTGAGTATATGGTCATGAAAATGTAATTTAATATAGTAATCTATTTCTGTGAACATAAAAATATTCTAACCAATAGGAACTCAGTAGTGGTATCTAGTAGTCTAGTAATATTTTTTTTAAATCCAGCATTGTAGATGTAAAATTCTCTTTCAAAAATTGTAATAGCTGTAAAAATATCAAACTTTTTACAGAAAATCTTACATGACAACTCAAACTGATTACAGATATTTGTATGCCCTTATAACCTATGCTGTGGTCATTTTGGCCTAAGTATCAAGAAAGTGGAAAAAGTCTTAGTAACATTTTTGCCATCCTGTTTGTTCCAATAGTGAACTCGGTGCATCTAAGTATTGAGTGCCTGAAATGTAGAAGAGATGATTTAGTTAAAAATCTGGTTTGAGTGATCCCTATATTTTTATTGGGTGTTTCAGTATAGGGGATTTCAATTTGTATTTAAGCTAAAAGGACCAGATGTGTGAGCAGTAACTTTGTGGTCTAGGTTGTTTTCAGTAAGAATTACAGCAATAGCATTCCAAGGTATGAAATACATGTTTGAATACTTGTACAGTAAAACTCCAATGGTCCGGCACTCCTGATGGTCCAGCACTCCTAATGGTCCGGTACCATCTGGAAACCGGAAATGCTCCGGGCAGCCAGACAATTGGAGCTGCTCTGCCCCTGGCTTCCTGGATTCAGCCACTGCTGAAACTGACCAGCGGCTGACTTCGGGAAGCCCGGAGCAGAGCAGCTAGGGTGCTCTGCCCCAGACTTCCTGGAGTCAGACACTAGTCAGTTTCAGCAGCGGCTGACTTGGGGAAGTCTGGGGCAGAGTAGCTGGGGTGCTACTGGGTTGGTCCTGCAGCGCTGAGGGACGCACCCCCCCCATTCCACCCCAACCCCTCATAGCGCGCACCCCTCCACCTCCTCCTTCCGCCCCCTCCCCCCCGTCCGATGGCATATTTGATAATCCAGCATCCCCTGGGTCCTAAAGGAGCTGGATTATTGGAAGTTTACTGTACTTTGAGTTGTCTGTGGACTAACTTGACAAATAAATTTTTCCAAACTTTTGTCCAGTCATATGTAGAATAAATGCAGACCAGTGATGCTACAAGAAATTAGATATAAAATATTCTATGTCAGTCAGACTTTTCTATTGTTTCTAGTTTGGGAAACATGCTTTTATATCAGTGGAAATAAATCTTAGTGCTTGCTAATCTATTGCCAGGTTTTCTAGTCCTTTAAGAAATGTCCTGGGCTTTTTTAATTTTAGGTTCAACCATCTCCAACCTTTGCAACTAGAGGAAAGCTTTCTCAAACAGGTAAGCAAATACATTACCCATCTACCTTAGTGGATCAACAAGGAAGAAATGGCAGAGACTTATAAAAGCTTTTCTTCCAAAAAGTTCTGAAGTGTCCATCTGGAGGTTTACCTCTGCGTTCATCAATCTGTCCTCTCTATAGAATGTAATAAATGAATTTAGTAGAAACATATCTATCCCTGATTATATAAAGATAGCAACTAGGTTATTCTCTTTTGATCCTGTAGGACTTGTTTCCATTATTGCTTCCATTTCTTTATATGAATCAGATACCAAAATTGCAAATATTAAGGTTAGGAGGTTAAAATAGAAATAGAAAAATAAGTCCTTACCCTTCCTTTGCTCAACTAACTTCACTTTCTATGGAAATGGGATCAAAAGGTAGGTATACCAAGATCAAGAGAGATGTACAAGGCAACAATGGTCAGTATAATAGGCAGTGGTCTTAGTAAACCAGTTTCTGACCAATATATAATTTTCTGTACGCTCCACTGTCAAGGGGAGTTTTATTAAATGATTTTTTTGTTTTCGTACTTCACATAGCCCAAGTGTTGTTTTCAAACTAATTTAACTATTAAATAAAAATAGGGGTTTTTTTTAACTTCCAACCTAAGCAAGCCATTACATTTCAGTGAGGTTAGTTCCATGCTATGTTTGTAATTTAAAGTCTGGCTTAAAAATGGTTATCTGCATGCAGATATACTAGGGAGAAACTCAGATTGGGAAGTAGGATTTAGGACCTTATGTTAACAGGAGAGAAAAACATAGCTGATTCAAAATTCTTGCTATCTTCCCAAAAATGAGCTTCTTTGGGCAAAACTTTATAAATGTCACAAGAATGTTCAGAAAGTTACGAGCATGTGATAATGGATTTATACCTGAAACTGTTTTGCACCAATTATAGTGGTTGTTACTGGATCATGACTTTTTATGATTATTGTACAGGTTCAGGGTACAGCTTGTTTATACACTTTTATTGACACATTATAGCAAAGCTATAGTATCCATACTATATGGATTAGATGCTCTCTTGAGGTCTGTTTCATTCCTATGATTCTGCCATTCTGTATTTTAAAGGAAGATTAGCTGCCTGATGGGGTACTTTTTAACACAGCTGTTTTGTAAGAGATATTATAAAATGTACTGAAACATTAATGTATTCACAGTTTAACACTGCAAAATGAATGAACTGTTTTCACATTTTATCATTCATTTTATCATTAGAAGTCTTGCATGAAATATTTGTATTAATGAAAGGACCAATCTCATACATTTTTGTTAGATGTTTGTTAAATATAATTATGCAGGTCTTTGAATGTTCATAATAAACTTCATTCACTCACAAATCAAGCTTTTTTATTAATTTTATTGACTTAAATCCAACACATTTAAATGTGTATTTATAGTTTAAGTGTATGTTTCTGCTCATACAGACTACTATTTTGGAATGATAGGCATCATTTTTACATATGCTCTGACAGGTAAGCAGATTAATGAACAGGATGATCAACCTTAGCCCGGCCAAATTGGCAAAGTCGAGGCTTATAAGTGGGATTTGCTCTCTTTGCATACTGTAAGGGATGAGATAATAGCTCTGCAGAAGGAGGAAAAAAGGCACAAGAATTGGCTTTCATCATGAGTCGCCTTCTTTCTGTTACGAGGAATTTCTGTCTGCACCATGAAGAAGACGGTGCCAACTGGCAGAATTCCTTGGCATGAATGGAGTAGACATTTTGTTCCAACATAGAGTTGGGCAGGCCAAAATTAGAGGTTGTAAGTATCTACTACTGTGACAGCACATGGTTTCCCTTACAGGCCTGGGAGCTGCTTCTAGGACAGTTCGCATGACGGAGATTGCATATGCATTTTTGAAACATTCGGCTCAGTCTTTCAGGAGTATTAAATGAAAGATCTAGTCTAACTTTACATGAATAGTTCCTTTTGATGTATGCAAGAGTTGAAGTCAGGCCCTGAACCTTCTAATTTTTTCTGTTGGTACCATCCTTGTCTGTTAACTAACAATTGAAACATTCAAATAGTTCTGCTTTTTCATTAAAGTAGAATGATATTTACTACTGATTTTTAAATCAATAAATTTAATAATATAGTGTCATGTGGCATACAAAATCTTAATTTTAAAGGCCTGAATATTTTTAATGAATATAGCTTCTCTTTAAAAAAAAGACCCTGTCTTTTATTTACTGTTGGTTGGCATCCCTGCAGGAAAGAGAGCCTTTAAATGTGTTTCAGACTGCTTTGGTGATGTTTATACAAAGCCAGCAAACTACATATGAAAACTTCCTTTCAAAAAAGCTTGATTAGTAAAGAGAATTGAAGTTCAGTTTTACATTTGTGTAGCATTCTTACATTGTTTCTTCTTTTAGCCAAAGACACGTCTAATAAGAAAGAAACAGCTAATGTAAGTGCAAGCATTTTTACTAAAAACCTCTAAACAGTGTACTGAAAAATGGCCCACTCTCTCAAATTTAATTAATCCTTCTTGCTTTCATTTCATTACCTCAGGAGAGTGAAGCAGGGAAAGCAGAAATGATTGTGCGTCGAAGAGGAAGAAAGCCCAAATGTTCTGTGATTCCATCAGAGGAAACTGGTAAGACATAAAATTGTGCTGCTCTTAACAAAGTAAAGAGTTTGCAGCGTCTAGGTGTACATTAGGATGTAACAAGATCCGCTTTATTATGTTTTCCTTTCATTGGAAAAAAATCATTGGGTTACAGCTAGTGTAAATATTATGTAAATATGTGTAAATTGCTGTAATCTCATGTCAGAATTGGTACATCCCAGATGCTTCTATAAACCTCCATGATTTTTTTATGAATTCTGGCTGTGAACTGCAAAAGTAAACTATTGCAAATGTGTTTTGAGAGATTAAGTCAAACAAGTGTGAATTAAAAGTGTTGAAGACTGAAGGAAATGGAAAATTACTTATTCTGCTCACAAGTCCCATTTTAAATGCCTTTTCTAAACTAAGTGTCTATATCCTTTTGAAGGGCCTTTCATGAAATTATAACACATGTAAAAATGTTCATGAACAGAAACACTGGAGCCGGAAAAAAAACGTCGGAAGTTGGCATCTGCTTCTGAAGATGAAGTGAAAGAACAAGAGGAAGAAGATGAAGATGCTGCTGATGATGATGATGATGATGAAGCACATTCTGGAGCCACTACTAGATCAGCCACAAGATTAGAGGCTCAAAGGTAATATTCAGCTAACTAGTAATAGAAAACTCGTAGCAAAATCTTTTAAAAGAGACACACACAGTTGACTAACCTCTCTATTTAAAAAAATTATTTGATATTGAAAAATCTGTTAGCACTGCATAACAGGACAGTAATACTACTGTTAAAAATCCCAGCTGCTCAACAGGTTGGCCTACAAATTGCAACTCTAAGGTTGTCTCTCTTCTACCCAGTCCATGTAACCATAGCTGTCAGCATAACCTCCAAGTGTAGAAACAGCCTACATTAACAGAGATTTTTCTGTTCGTATAAGAGCTTTGCCTCCCCAAACATTAGTTATGGTAACAGAAGCACTCTTCCATCCCCATAGTTGCATCTACAATGGCAGTTCACACCCTGACCAATGTAGTTATGCTGATATAACTTTTATGAGTATCCCGAGTACAAAGCAATGGCTTTCCTTGCATTTGGCTCTAGCAATGACATAGCAACACCATAACAGGCCTTTTGGCCTGGTATGCATGCATTATGTGACTCTGAAATGCTTAATGGTCGTAGATACATATCTGTATGGAATGAGAGTGCATTTTTTATCCTTGTCTATTTGATTGGAGTTAATCAGGAATAATAGTGCACAAAGGATCGAAGGCTCTGTTCTTGCCACCATTCGAGTGCTGCTGTTAATAGGTTCATAGATCTAAAATCCCCTTACATTATTTTTTCCTCTTGTAGTGTATATAGGAATACTGATAAACATGTCTTATCTAAAAGTTTTAATTCACCCTGTAAAAAGTGCAGGACATCATGGAGGTGACAAGAAGAATTTGCCTGAGTAAGCAAGTTTCCTCAAGGACCATGCTGTGGATGTTCAGCTTGATGGCAATTGTAGTGATCATACACACACTCCTATGTTCCACAAGCCATACATTCTTGCTGAATTGGGAAAATTGGTTGCTTCCAAAGTATTCTATCTTGTAGCAATGCAAAGGAAAATTTTCATCATGGAAAGACCTGCCAAACTATTGTAATACAAATTGTAGCAGTCCTATTTTTGTGAAGAAGAGCCCAAATAAAGGGAATGGGTCTTCTGGAGAGACCAAGTACAACTTTATATAAAAGTCCTGTAGATGAAGGCATGTACAAAATTGGAGTATTCATAAACTTAGTATATCAAAATATAGTTATGATTGAAGCAGACATTTAGACAGTCATCTATTATTATATCAGCAAGCTTGGATGGACAGTCTCTCTTCTCAAAAATCAAGAAGACCTGAAGAGTCCCAAAACTCACTTATCTGTATAAGGCATATAGGAACTAATTTCAGGACTCTGTTTATAGTCTTCCTCATAAAGAGATTTCTCAGAGTCTGGGGCAAAGATTCAAGTCTTTCTTTTGCTGCCTTCCAGGGCAGAAATTGAGCCCTATCTTGGTTCCATTTCAGTAACAAAATACTTTGACACCATTATCTTTGCTGGGATTCTAGTAATCATCATCTTGGCTTCCTTTCTGAACACCTCTCATTTTTACTTTTATGGGATTTTACTGATAGACTACACCTTTAACAGTAATACTCACTGGCCCTCAAGGTCTTAGAACAAAGGAACAGTCACACAATTGTTATTTATTGTCTGTGAATTTCACTAAAGAAGTTATCTATACTGCCAACATCAGCACACCCAAGACCAGATAAACTTTAGTGTGCATAGAGATTATAATTTAGTGGCAGTGTAGATAGGGACTAACTATCCTTGAGGGACTTTCTTTCTTCCCAGGGGCCAGGTATGCCGCAGTCTCTGGTCTTCAAACCTTTTGCCACCTCAGCAAACCTATGCCCATGAGTGACGTGCACTCCATGTGCTTGAAATGTTTGGGAGAAACTCAGGTGAGGGACAAGTGCCAGATTGTTAGGATTTTAGACTCTGTACTAAAAAGAGAAATATGACTCAAGGTTATCCTAATGGAAGCTGCTCTTAAACCAGCCTCAGAGCCAAGCTGCTCTGATTCTGCACCAACTACTTCGGCTTTGGTGTGAAGCCCTCCTCTGGCACCGTGCTCTTCGCAGAACCTTTCACCACCTCTATGCCAAGCAAGAGACACAAAAAAGCAGGACAGTGACAGAGCACCCACACATGCACAAAAAGGATAAGCATAGAGAAGGCAGCACAGTGTGACCCATGTAAGGTCACTCTTTCATCCCTGGCTCCTTGGGGGCACTATTGAGTCCAGTGCTGGACCCTCTACCAACACCTGCAAGTCACAGTGGTACCAACAGTCTTGACACTATTTTTGAATCGGGGGCTTTCACAGCATCCAGACTTAATTTCACTCCAAATGCCCCAAACTCTTATGGGCCATTGCTGACTCTGATGACTAGAGCAGGGAGCATCAAGCTCCTTCCTGGCACAGAGATCACTGGCACCTTCTAGGTCAGCCCTGATTCCTTTATCATGCACATCTCTGATGTGCTTCCGATCCCCACACTCTCAGTACCCATATGGTGTCAAACAGTGATATCGTGCCACCATCATCACCAAAGAGGAACAGTCGATGCAGCTTAATTACACAGGGCATAATTTAATATTAAAGATCAGTGCAAGAATAAAGTACAAATCTCAATTCTGAATGTTTTTAAAATGTATTATTTGATCCCAAACTTGCCGATGTCATTTTGCATTGACAGTATTGATCCACCCGTTGTAAATGCCATGTAGTTTAATTTCCTGTACTTATTACATGTGTGCTGAATATGATTTGATTATTTTGCTAAATTAATCATAATTTTTATAACATTTTCTGGTAACATTTCAGAAAACAGCCAAGCAAGCCAACTACCCGTGCGGCTTCTAAAGGCAACAGTCCAAGCTCTGTTTCTCCTAGAAAACACCAAAATTCAGCAGCAAAAAAGAGGTTGCCTAGTGAGGCAAAAATTAGCAAGTCTCCTCCATTGGCACAGTAAGTATGAAAATAGAAGTATCTTTTACTGTTTGTTTTGGATACTATTAACTTGGTCCTTTTTTCTAGATCTATAATTTACTACAATCCCCAACTGCAAAGCGCAAAAAAAGCATTTGGGAGAGCCTGAGCAACAGTGTCACACAAGGTTTTAATCTGAGCTGCAGCTTCGATTACAGCAGAATGTGACATATTCAGATTCTCCACTTTGTCAGATGAACTTGGGAAAGGAGCCATTGAGATTTCTAATATTTCAAGTTTTTAAAAAATAACAGTGGCAGAGGAGAAGGGGGGAAGCATTTTTTTCCATTTTTAAGTTTGAGGCTGTGTTTGTGTCATATGGGAGCAATAAAGGATACAAATAATTGTTTACCTTTACAGAGGCCTATATTTCAGTAGCTTCAGAGGGGTAGCCGAGTTAGTCTGTACAGGATAAACTTAAAAAACAGCAAATAATCTGATAGCAGTTTAAAGACTAACAAAACATGCAGATGGTATCATGAGCTTTCGTGGGCACAGCCCACTTCTTCAGATCTGTTCTTCATCTGAAGTGGGCTGTGCCCACGAAAGCTCATGATACCATCTACATGTTTTGTTAGTCTTTAAAGTGCTACAGGACTTTTTGTTGTTGTTTTAAGTTTATATTTGACTAGTATTCCTCCACTGTGTGGCACTGGGAGCACACATACTGCTTAAATAATTAGCAGTAATAGTGGCAAGCACATGTTATATACCAACTGTTAAAAGGCTTCATTTTACTTTACATCAAGTACTGTGTGTAATACTTGGCCAGTAGTTTGGGGCCAATGTCACGTGTGGTTAGGCCTGGTGTATGATTGGCCTATACATGTACACACAAAGGGGAATGAGTAAGGTGCCTTCCCATTATGCCCTTTCCTGCACAAGAGACATGCGCTACAATTGCTGTTCTTTTACTGTCATGAGTGAAAACTTGAACCTTGCTTGTGTCATTCTGGGACACAAGCCAATCCCCTGAACTCTCCAAAAAAATGGGAAGACAAGGGACCATGGTCTCACCATCCACCTTCTCTGCACCAGCCAACATAACTGGATGACTATAAGGATGAGTGTAGCAGGCATGGTTCCCCTATGTGCTGTGCAACTTAAGGAGATGTTGTGCACTGGGGTGATGTGAGATATCATCTCTCCTGGCATTTTTTCCCTGGGATGGGGCAACTGCAGGAGTGTACCTCTAAGCAAGTGAGCCTAAAACCCCTTAGAAAATATCAACTCTTATAAAAATTCAATGCATTATTAATAATTGTTATAACTTCTAGGTTAAAGATGCAGGCTGCTAGCAAGCGTAAAAGGGAAGCAAGCCCACCAGTGGTACGCAGAAAAGGCCAGCTGAAAGTGGACGAAACACCATTAAAGAAAACAAAGCGATAATTGTTACCATCTGAGAGAATTCATGGAAAAGTTCAAAAATAAGAGCGAGGTCTCTGTTTTTGTTTCATTCAGTTGCGTTAAAGCAAAGAGATTTGCATGTGCTTGTTTCTGAGCTCTAAGTTAATAGGTGCAGAACTTAAGTTACATTTTAAACAGCTTTACAAACTTGTTTATATTTAATATTATACAGATTTAAAGTAAGTATACTTTGTATTTGAAAGAAAAACAAAGTAATTCCATATATTAACGGTGACTCAGAAAGTTGGGATTTCCCAGTGTGACATGCTAATACAGATGCTTCCAATCTACCAGGCACCAAGGGCCTACTAATATTCTTTGTACATAAACTTGTAAAAATAGGTTGTATTTTACTGTGTATTAATCTAATCAACGATGAACATTTTATTTATTGTATGGAGAGGACTGGTCTGTAAACTTTAGTAAATACCTTAGGTTTTATTAATGATATTTTAAATTCTATGCAGCCATTAGAAAGGCTGTCTAAAATCTGAAGTTCTCTGAAATATGCTATGACAGTTGGTATTCTTTCGCATGTATTGAAGTAGAATAGCATAGTAAAGGGGGGATGCTCTTCCTTATCTGTTCACATTCATAAACATGTACAAAATAGACAATGTCATTTTCAGATAACATTTTCATCTCTGAATCTAGTACCAACCTCACAGTAGTAATTAGTACTAGTTTAGGTTTACTGAGAACATTTCTGCCAAAACTATTCTCAAGTACAAATTGCTATGTTTTGTTTCACAACTTAACTACTCTTTCAGTATTTGTCTTTTTCAATGAAGAGGGACCCATAGAAGTGATATTTAACTTCAAATAACTATGGCGCTTCAGCATTTTATGTTACATTTTATACACAAGTATTAAAAAAGTAGAATTTGGTATTATTTCCAGAATCCTCTTTTTAATATATATTAACTCTCATACGAGCAAATGTTCAAGTTAAGTTTTACATAAAGTTAAGCTTTTCTTATGATCAAATTTGTCTCTTGTAATGATATGAGTTGCCAAATAATCTGAGATTATTTTAAAATGTTTTGTTCATATTCTTATGTTTTATAATTAAAATAAGCATTCTGTGGGTTTTTTATTTGTTATTGTAAGGCATATATATCTGTCAGATATTCTACTTGGTTTCTTACTGAGATTTTATATATAAATTATAAAATGTTTCCCAAAACCTGAGTTGCACTATTTGTTATATCTTTAAATTTCTTAATTGTCACTGTGCATTTGTTTTTATTGTATTTACAGTTGACTGGGATAGACATTCACATGAGTAATGGTTTGCAGAATCAGTCCCTTTATAGATCCTCTATATCACATCATCTAGGTATCCTACATTTACTACAAAAGTAGTTTGAACAACTCATTAAGAGAATCCATGTCCTGAAATTGAAATTAAAACAACCCTCCAGTGAACTGTTTAAATTGTTCAGCCTCACTGAATATTCTTAATTGTTTTAACATTTGTCTTAGCTCCAGTTCAGCAAAGCATCAAAGCATATGTTTAAGTCCTACTGAAGTCAACGAGACTGAAACACGCGCTGAAAGTTAAGCACATGCTTAAGTGCTTTTCTGACTGGAGGTTGACTGCAGAATGAAAGCCGTAATGCCCTGAAGATTGATGGAGTGATGCTGTGGCACAACAACAAAGGAAGCAAGTTCCAAAGACAAGACTACCCTGTGCCAGTTCTAGAAAGACAAGTGCCTAGTGGGGCTGAAGGGAATTTGCTGGGGGATAATACTCATAAAAGGCTTCTAAATTCATATTTAGCTTCCCTAATTGTCTTCAGTTTGTAAGGGCTTGTTTACATTAGATTTTCACAATTCCTATATCTCAAAGTGCTCTCAGTAAGATCTCTTGAAATTTGCCATTTCAACAGGCCCATGTGAGCTGGTGGAACAGCAGCTGTTGAAACCTATTCTATTGTTAGACAATGGATAATGTAGGTGATGTTCAAAGCTGCTAGAACAAAGTTCATTGCTGGCACTTCAGTTCTTCAAAAAGCAATACCACCTCAATAGTCACTTTCATACCAACTGCTTCTGTAAGTATGAAGGTTATTTTCAATAGCCTGTAACATCCACTCCAGATGAAGTTGTCCACTTAATCATGTGTGGTGAGTTCAGAATTTTGCTTCACTAATGTGAATGCCCCAATGATTTCCTGATTTCCCTCACAATTCCCCAGAAATGTACTAAGAAGCTGGTCCAGAAGGCAAATGCCTCAAGCATTTGAGCTGGTCATGACTATCAGCAAATGCCAACTTTGATTTGGGTCCAACATTTGTACTTTTCAGACCCTTTAAACTCACTACCTTGATCTTGAGCGATGAGGTCCATATTGAGAGAAAACAACTTTACTCCCAAGTCATCTCTTCTGTCCTTTGGTCCTGGAAGCAAAGTGCTGGGATCTCTGCTTTCTCCACATTAATTCATTAATCATTGCCCTGAGTCCAGGATATATTGCACAGTCTATTGTCTTCCTTTCAATACATTGCTTTGTCTGCATTGACTTCAGTGGAGCAGTGGTCCCTCCAAGATTTTCCATCCATGAGCGGAGCGAGTTTTGTCTTGTGCACAAATATTGAGGTTGTATGTGTTTGTTTAGATGTGCGCCACTGTGGCACCCTTGGTATTAACAAATATCTTATGCATATATATTTTAAAATATTATGGAAGAAAGCCCTTGTTTTAATATTCTAATTAACAAGGTGCATGATTTTAAATACTTATTTAATAGGAAGTCAATTAAAAAGAAAATTAATACTGCAAAGTTTTCAGTATGCTAGATTGCCTCAAGGCTGCTCTAAATCTGCACTGTCCATAGATGTTATAGGCGACCAAGAATAAGCACACTTCAGCATGGCTCTAGTTTTCCTCCAGAATGCCCCTATTCCAGGAGCTGTAGGAAGGGGCATCACAGAGCCATTTCATTGGCTCTAAGAAAGATATCGAGTCCCCTACCTACATTGGGAATAAGACCCAAGTAGGGAAGTGAGATGACTGCGTTCAGGGTACCTTTGTGCTGCTGGAGTGCAGAATGGTTCTAGGGCATGAGAAAAGCAAGTCACTGTTTTATCACTATTGTGAGGCTTCTAAGGATACATAGAGCACCGTCAAATAATAAACAGTATTTGTAAATGTGGTTTTACAAACATTAAGCCATATTGCCTGACTTTGGAGAATCTGTGTATATATAGTAGAATGCTGGTACGAGAATATCAGGGAGGTCATAATGTCTAAATAGTTGGTATGGCAGAATGTAATATAAATTACATATCTAAGTATGCAGGCACACTACAACCTCAGTTATTTTAAAATATTGTGAATTCTTAACAATAGGCACTTTGCCTATTGCAGTGAATAGTTTTAATGTAAGAGGCTGTTCATGTGACTACACACAATGGTAGCTAACATATATTGACAGATTGGGCCATGGGCCCCCTAGCCTAGCCATCTGATCCATGCTTGTAGCCCCTGCAAATATGTGGCATTCCAAAAGCCTCGCCTTGTGATGCATGTCTCTCTAAAATGCCACACACATGACTAACAAAGCCAACAACCAATGCTGACTAGGGCTATGTCTACACTCGTGGCTTCTTGTGCAAGTAATATGCAAATGAGGCTAAGCGTGGAATATCGCTGAGCCTCATTTGCATACCTAATGAGCCACCATTTTTTTCAGAAAAGGCTCTTGCGCAAGGAGGGTCTACACTGCCCCTTCTTGCGCAAGAAAAACCCTTTTGCGCAATGCTGTACTTCCTGTCAAGTAATAGAAGAGCCTCTTCTGAAAAAAAATGGTGCCTCATTAGGTATGCAAATGAGGCTCAGCAATATTCCACGCTTAGCCTCATTTGCATATTACTCGCGCAAGAAGCCGTGAGTGTAGACATAGCCAATGTGTTTGGCCAATCAAGTATATAATCAATGTTGTACAGTTGGGCACACTTTACTAGTGCTCTTCGGAGAGGGTTACCCAGCTTCCTCCCTCCCCGCAGGGGCTGAGCCATGCAGCCCCAGCTACCCCGCAAGATGGCCATGGCCTCAACCCCCGGCCACAGCTACCCACCCACCCATGTTGTGTAGGAACATTCACTTAGGCACTCCAATCTTCAGTATTTGTTTTGAATTTTAGTCTCAGCCTTTTCCCCCAAACTTTTCAGTTTAAAAACAAATGGAATTGCTATAATAAAAAAACACCATATTATACTTGTGCTGCTACTGATTGTTCACTAGGACTTTTTCTTTCCTTATTTAAAGTAAAAATATTTCCAAAACACTCATTGGGCACTCTTTCTCTCTCTCCCCCCCCCTCCCCTCGGTTTCAGAAAAAAACCCTACATTTTCTTTATTTCTCCATTCATCTCATTTAAAACAAAACACAGCAAAACCCAGTTATTTTCCTATTTGGAGGCAGAAATGAATGAATGGTTCATCTAGCCTAGCATCCTCTGGCTGTAGCTAATTCCAAATGAGTAAGAGAAAGGTGAAAATGTTTCATCATACCTATGATCAAGGAAGGTTCCAATGTGCAAAGGGACATCAGTATGATGGTGTGAGCATAGAAGTCTGTGCTGCCAGAATTGGGGCCTAAGTATCCTAGCAACAGTCACCAGCCCACCTGCCACACAGCCTTGGCTCTGATCTTTGGTGGCAGCAGACAACCATCTGCCCGTGGTTCCGACCCCTGGAGCAGCAGTTCACCCACAGCTCTAACCCGTAGTGCAGCAACCTGCCCACCTGTGGCTCTAATCCTCCAGCACTGGAACCCACCCATCATGTAGT